CGGGCGCATTGCGTGCTTCTACACTATGCGCCTGCCATCTCGAAGGCCATGCGCTTTGTTTTTTGCTTTGTTTTCGTGCCACTATGCTTGCGTGACGTTATAAGCAAAGAGGTTTCTCCTGTATTTGACAGATGGCACTTTACTGCAAAAGACGTGACTTTTAAATTTTTATTTACGCCGTCCGCATTCGCACTACTCGCAACTATTTAGCATGGTTGCAAAACTATGTTTTGACTTTTATTATGTAGTTATATTATGTCATAATGGCTTGATACAATGTTTTTTCGATCGTCAATGACACTGGCTTTCACCCCAAAATAAAATGAACAGATACATTAAAAAGTTTTTTTAATGCCCAGGATCAAGGTGGGGGATGGGTTCATTATGCAAATGGGTTCGTTACGAGAGTAAGTAAGTAATAAAGAACAAAGTGTGAACGCTTCTGCACTCTATGTGGCTTGAAAATAGTCTGCAAACTTGTATTTTTTTGCACGCCGCCAAGTTCCAGTCATCCTCAATATCGTCGGAGCTTTCCAAATAAGCTGAGCTCATTCTGCCACAACAACAGTGCCGTTTGACGCTTGACGCCAGTGTAAGTTCCATAGAGCGTTAAAAGATTGGTTAGTGGCGGAAGCAACACACTTCCACGGCACCGGCAACGTTGGCCGTTGTCTCAGCGTCGATGCAGTTAGAAACAGTGACATTATCATCTGCGCCAATGAAGCAGCTCGGTGTCCGTGATGCTGGCCAGAAACGTTAACAAGTCGTAGAATTCCCTGAGGCACCATATGCTGTTGTCAGTAGTCATGACACACCCAAAGTAATCACCTGGCATCAAAGCCCGGAAGGAAACAGTTTACGGCGGTGTTTTACATGACGTCGCTCCTAGCACCAGTCGTAATTTTTATCACTACGAACGGATCATTGTTTAGTTACGACTCCCATATTATTTATCAGGAACGAGGAGAGAAGTACAAGAACCACACAAGACAACAGTGCCAATAAATAAACAAGCAGGCTCCCTTCGTCAACATGACGGTGATAGTAATGACGCTCGTGTCTTTGTCGTTTTACAGCAGGTAGCCACTGCTTTGGCGCGGAAAACCAGAAGAAAGCGTAGCCTCCGAGGTATGCGTTCCAAAATCGAAAAGACCAGGTCACGAGGTTGCACATCTCAAAGGCCATGCTTTTCCGTCCCGCATGCCATCGTGCACGAGGGAACGCGAACATGGCAACAAGATTGCCAAATCACTTCGTTATAGTGCCCTCAGCAATCGGTCTTTTTAAATCAGGGTGTCTAGGAAATTGTAGAATTCAATTTACCTGACTTTTCCAGGTTTTCACTGACCATTTTAGCTAAAATTCCCTGACCTATACAACAGACATCATTTTGTGGAAATGGTCCGTGAAGCATATTAAAAGGGTACAGAAAACACATTTCATTGTAGAGTAAAACATTTATTGCAACTGCCCTCATTCTCGAAATGCACTTCCATTAGGGTTTGAGAGAGTTTATTTCGTCTTGAAAAATAGAAGCTTCAAGTTGCGCTTCACTAAGCAGCCTTTGCTTTTTTTCTTGTAGCTCTTTAATGCCACCTGCTGCTAAGATCGCATCATGCACTACTCTCTGTGCCACAAGAGAATCTTCTTTCAAATTTTCAACAAGGCATTCCTTGTTGACAGAAAAGCCTCTCTCTACCGCAGCATTGCCGTGAGACAAGCACGAGAGAAGGTTCACAAAAAACTGCAGCTCCTTGTGATCCTGGGAACATATGTTTGTCCACAGAGTATCCAGCCTCTGTTTCTTCCTGTCAAAATTTGCCAGCTTTGCCCGTGTACTGCTTTTTGAGCACACCTTCACGTAGGAGCGATGGGCTCGCTCTGCTTGCAAGCCGGTCATCCAGTGGTGCTCGGAAAGTACTTCAAGTGCCAGCGTAAGCCGCCTGGGACCAGCCTCCAAAGACAATGCACAGACAGGGTCCAAACAGCCTGCACCCACGGCCAACTTGTACTTAAGCGGTAATCTCTCCATCACTTTCTGTGCACAAGCCTTGACAAATGATATGCAGCCTTTTTTAAAATTCATTATTGCAAGCTGTGACAACTTCTTGTTCTTGCGGAGCTCGTTTTTTGCCGAAAACCCCACGTCAAATGCGGCTACATTTACTGCATTTTCTGGTATGCTTAGGTCTATCTTCATCAACTTGGCGATCGTGTCGGCAGCATTGAGAACTTCCCGTTTGACAATTCTCTACAGCAGTGAACGCAGAATGCTCTCTAGTGCTGCTGAGAGGAATGGAACCATCGGTTTATCCGTTTGAAATTCACGCAGAAATGGTTCCAATTCCTCAGCAATCGAAAGAGCAAAAGCTAGCTTTGCTGACAAGACCTGATTAGACGGCTTCTTCAACCACTTTGTAGCTTGAGCATGTTGGCCTCTTGTGTGCTTTTTCTTTACACTGCTGCACAAATACAATTAGGTGTGGTAGAATCTCCAGTGCCCTACAGATTACAGTACTGTTTTCCAGCCACCTCACTGCACAGAACTTCATGGGGAATTTCGAGCACCCCGTGAGGCTGACGAAGTCCGCGCGACGTGCAGGAACGCATTTGAACAGGTTGTAGGAACTTCAAAGAAATGATACCAAATCCCAGGCAGATGCAACGTGGCCAGCTTTATAAGCACCATTGATTGCATGAAGGCCACAGCTTCCTATGTCGAGGATATGGCTCTCATCTGACTCGCGAAGCTCTTCCTTCAGAGACTGCAAAAACTTAAAATTGACATTTGGCCCGTCCATGGACACTTGCAGGATTTTGGATCCTTTGATTTCCTCCACCGCTTGAGGAAACGCTGACGCCAAGTCATCAGCGCACGTATGACCCATGAAACAAGACGTCAGGTAGCGAGTCTTCACGCTGTCGTCAGCAGCATCCCAGTATCTAATGAGAACATCCATTTGCTGTTTCTGGGTGACCTTGTTCAGCGCCTCGTCGAAACAGACTACCAGGTAAGGCACATTAACGAGACTCGACAGCAACATATTGCGAAAGTACGGCGCAATGCCATGGCAAATGGTGTAGCCTACCTTGTCTTTACCCAGCTGAACTTTTGCAGCCACCTCAGAAGTGGGAAACATCAGTAGAAAAAGTGCCGCAGACGCTGCTGCGGAACGAAAGGATCCATGTGTCATTATGGTATTGAGACACCAAATTATTTCTGCTTTAGTCACCTTGTTCTTAAACAAAAAACCACCCACTGACACTTGCACAGGAGCTGTAGTCATAGGAACTTCGGTAGCAGCAGGTGCACATCCAGCGCTACTGCTAGGCGAGGCGTCCGTCGGGCTTTTAAAAAATGACAATAGCTTTGGCTGGGAAGCACTTTTGAGAAAATTCAATGCAGCAATGTGCTTCTTGCTAGAGGCATGACTTGAAACAGCTCTGTGACCCATGTTGCTCAGCAAAAACGTTTTTTTGGCAAACTGTACACATGGCTTTGTGCGGATCATTGTCCACAGGCCTAATCCAACTTGCATAGTCCGAGACACTTGGGTTCGCCCAGTCCGCATTAAAGGAACACTTCTTGCCTCCTGACATCTTCGATGAATAAATATTTTGCAGCGCGCGACACCGAAACGCAGCACTGATAAGCAGCGCGTGACACTGATGATCGCGTCTGAAATTCTGCAGGTCCGATGGATTTCTTCTCTCTGGAATATGCCTTCACAGAAATATACGGATATGTTCACTTCAAATCACAGAAGCACTTAGTCGAGGACAATGTCGCACACCACAATTCGCGCTACGCAGGAACTCCGGGAAAACGTCCGCGAGAACGCAAAGCTCACAATTCACACATTTTCAGTCGTAGTAAAGCCTAGCCGCACTGTACAACAAAGGGACGTCGCCATGCTGAATTTATTGCGCGCAGATTGTCGTAGCTCGGCTCGATATGCTACGTTACCCTGCCTCCGCAGCCAGAACGCACAAACTAATTTTAGTAAAGGTCAGTGCGTGCAAACGATGGCGCAAAAATAGGTGACATCGAAAACCTGCCGTGTTCCACTTTGATTACGCAATTCTGGCTCTTGACGTCGTAAGAAAGCATAGCCTTCAATATTGGCTACCAAAATGCACCGCCTCCAAGATTGGCTACCAAAATGCATCGCCTTCAAGATTCCCTACATAAAAAAAAACAGAGTGAGCGTGGAATTTAGACACCTCCTATCATCCTTCTATGGAAATTTCATTTCCCTGACTCTAGCGTTTTGCCCAAAGCGATCGGCTGTGCGAGTCATTAGTAGTGTGGGCAGGCCCCAAGACAGTTTTCCCTGACTTGTCTCGCTTGATTGACGAATTCCCTGACAATTCCCTGACTTTTCCCGATGGCTGAAAATTACCTGACATTTCCCGGTTTTCCCGGTCGCCAGAAACCCTGTAAATCCACCATGTCCACAGATTAAAACCTGCAGATCGCAAATCAAGCATACCGGTGCACTCACAAGTACTGCATAACAAACTGTTCAATACGACTGAGTTCCATCTTTTCACTTTTCAACACCACCTTTTCGTCACCTGTGTGCAAACGAGATTGGAACTTGTTAGGAACTCTCTATTAGCAAAAATGCAATTTCTGGGTTTCGGCGTTCTCAGCGTTCGATACAGCGAATGTTCTGCTGTGCGGGTGCACCAGTCCCACACTTTTGCGTGGAAAATTCAAGGAGATTTCTCAACTGTTCAATATAGCCAATAATTTGATATATTCCGAGTTCTATATATGGGGGATCAACTGTGCTTTATTTCGTAGAGAATTTCATTATACTAATGTTATGTGGAGGTTAAACTGAGTATGCAATGTTGCATTGAACTATGGAATGCAGAGTTGCAGTTCAGTGGAATAGTTGTGATAGTGCCCATTATGCCTCAGCGTTTCAACATCTCTCATATTATGTATTGTGCAGCCATGGGCATATTTGTAATGCACACCAAGCGCTTACCTCAACATCACGACTCTTGGCCACCTCAGTGAAGTGCTCTTGACTTTCTAAAGTTTTGTCCTCTTTGTCATCTGTCATGCAGAAAACACGAAGCTGGGCTTCCATTGGGTCTAGACGCTTGGCAAAAACCACGAACTTCGCCATGAAAGGTACGTGCATTGCTTCTGCATAAAGCTCTGTAGCAAACTTGGTTGCCTCACTCACTTGCCGGCAGTCCATCAGCCAAAACCTGAGTAATGAACGAGCAAGACACTGTCACAAAAAATGCATGATATTCGTGCCCTAAGCAATACAGAAGATACTCAGCTTAATGTACCACTCTAACAAACATACTTGCCCTGACACAGCAAATATTATTTTTCATGTAATAGTAACTTTCAAAATAATGTGACAGCACACAATAGTAACCAAATTTTTAGGAATCAAATGTAACAAAAAAATTTTTTTCTTTATTCAGCACGTTCTCTCAAATGGCAGAACACTGACATGATAGCAAGATTTAGCAATGTGCTTGTACTATTCTGACGAAGTTCAACCTACACTTAGGTGGGTATTTCAACAGCATTGTGCAAATTTGTCCATAGCCTGACTGACACACTTCCCAATTTTAGGCAGAGCACCCATACCACGAAATAATTTTAAAAAAAACTGATGCTTCTTTTTGACAAACTATGAATCCCTGCACATTTTTTCTAATACCGTGATGCTCAATACATACTACTTGGGTAATTCCTATGTTATTGGCACAAAAACCTGCACATTGTAAGTAGCAAAGTAGCTGACCTGGCTGAGACTGTTGTGGTGAATGAAACACAGTCATTGACAAAAGTAAGTGGTGTTGACCCAGTCACATCTTCCCACTGAGCCTTGTTTGTACCACCTGAAATCAGACATTAGTAAAAACCATAGCATCAGTGGAGGATAAAAATAATGTATGCCAACTGGTTATTAAGCACAACATCATATTTTATCTGGAATCTAAGTAACCAAAAAGCCATAAATTTAATAACTAACTGTCATACTACTGCATATAAAGCTTTATAATTGAAAGGTCTTTTTCATAATTATAGTAATGCCCCAAAATCATCCTCGGACCATTAATAAAAACAAATCAAGACCAATCAAAAAAGGCATCACAGTGAAATTGATGCTTCAGAGACAAATAATAAAGCCCTTACTTTTCCTAAGCTTGTTATTGCATGGATCATGTCAGAAATGTTATTACGTGTCCAAGGCCTCGCTTTTTCTGATACCGCTGTCCTTCAAGTCGGTGCCCAATGCACATAAAAGTAAAATTACACACTATGAAGAAAACTGCAGTGGCTGGCGACCGGTTTGACTGAAGTAAAATGACACTGTCTACTGTTTCTAAGTACACATAATGTGGCTTAAAAACATTATCAGACACATCTGACATCACATAAGCTTATTTGCCACTTGAAACAGTGCTGCTTATTGTGTAAATCAAATTACACAGAATGTGAAGCCAGGATGATGGAAATAATATGACACCCATAACCTTCCTAATGTTACAAAGTAAGTTTAAAGGTGTTTACAGAAACGAGGAAGAAGGAGCATGGACCCCATGTTTATACCATGACTATTGAAAAAATATTTTGTTATCCACTGCCCTCTTAACATCAATCACTGGTATGCCATCAAACATCCTTTCTTGCAAAGCTAGTCAGATGAAGGAACACAGTCACCAGTTCAAAGCATCTTGAGCAAATTATGTTGTTTAGTAGACTGGCCAGGCTACAGCTGGCCGTGAAAAGCTTACGTACACACTAAACTATTTCAGAAACAATTATAGAAGGGGCAATTTCGTTAAAGCATAAGATTTACACTAGTTTTTGTCAACCAACTCTAGTTGTGTTAGTATGTCTCCTTAATTTTGGAGTTACTAACCACAGCCATAATACTATAATGACCCATGACTGCTGAATAATAATTATTAGGCCAGTTTTTCTAGTTATAGTGTTTAGAGTTGTGTAAGCATTACAGGACTCCCAAAACAATGTTGGATTTTCATGGAACCAAATTTGCACTCCACCTTCAAGTTACTGTACAATCACTCTGCAAGCAATACTCAGATTCTTCTTCCCCAGCTCAGCTGTAAGCGCCTGAATACATTACTGTGTTACACCAATGGGAAATTGTATCAGACTCAGAATAAAATAAAGCTAATTGATTTGCCTTAATTTAAAGCCCCAACAATGTTAACTAAAGGCTATTCACTTCCTATAGAAATTTTCGTCCCTCTTAGGGACAAAAATTGTGTAAATAAGTTTTGCATAGTAATAAGGATACTGCAAACATTAACAAGTTCTCTCTCCCCCTGCTCCCATTTTTTCTTTTTTTCTTAGCACTGCCTGTACGAGCTACGACATAATATAAATTAGTATACATGGTGCCCCATCTTTCTTTAGCCAGAGTTTAAAAATATGCCGACACATGCAATGACACGACCAAATGTATTTTGCTGACCGTTGCCTGAAGTGAGCCAGCCTATTTTTTTAGTTTTGATTAATTGTTTAATTAGGCCCCTTTAATTAACTAACATTTGAAGGGAAAAAAAGAGTAAAAAATTTCAATAAAAAAGTTGTTCGTTGGTTTGCAAAACGTCCAATGAGACAGTTTCAAGCTTTATATATAGTAATTTCTAGTGTTTTTCTGCTAATTAGAAATGCCTGCAAAATACAAAAAAAATACCACGTGAGAAGCCTGCTCGGGCACCAGTGCGCACAATTATTCCAGTGCTCCCTAACGTTCCACGTGCAAACAACCATAGCATTTGCCCAATAGACCCCTTTCATAATTCCATAATTCACAAGTGCGCTTTTCGGCACTGCATGCTTGCCCTACTAATGGCGTCACCTGTCCTACTTCAAATGGAGACGAGGTCCTAGTTAAACAGGCTGGGGCTCGTTTGTTATGCCCAGTAATACCGAGATAGCTAAACTTACATTTTCCAAGTATTAGTAAACTGCGCTTGAACACTCTCTTTGCAAAAAGTGACTAGCCGCCATTAGTAGGGCAAACTGCATAGCAGGAAAGCTAGCTTTACAATTATGAAAAGGGTCTATTGTGCTGTCTTGACAGGATTGCAACAATGGTGATGGCTTTGCGATGTATACGTATTGATGTCTTGCTATCGGCCACAAAAGTGATAACTGCTCTGAGAACTTATCGCTGCCATGAACCAGTACGAGGGAAGCGTATTGTTCATACACGGAACGTTTGAAAGCACCAGAATCATGGTGCGCATAGGCACACCAGTGGGTTTGTCAGGTGGTATTTTTTGTATTTCACGGGCATTCATAGTTAGCAGAAAAACAACAATAATTAACAGATATAAAGTTAGAAACTGTTTAATCGAATGTTTTGCAAACCAATCTACAAATTTCTCTCTAGAATTTTAGACCCATCTTCATTCCTTCAAAATTTGGTTAATTAAAAGGCCCAATTGAACAACTAATTCAAACACAAAAAAACACTGACTCAATCCACGTGACAATCAGCAACATGTATTTGGTAGCATCGTTATTGTGTATGTTAACATATACTCTGGGTAAAGATATCAGGGGCACCTTGTATACCTCATTTCGTTGATGGTGTTAATAGTAGTAACATATAAATTAAATACCTCATGCCCTATCACTCCACATAAATCTAGGACATGCCCCAAACTATTAAGCAATGTTCCAGCATTTTCAAAACTTTTTATAACTATACCAAAAGCAACTGAAAATGCCCTTCAACGGTTAACACTTTTAAAAGTACAGTAAAACTTCTTTAATCTTCTTAAGTTTTAACAGTTCTTGCCTCTGAAACATCAGTCCCATTTACTACAATAGGGTCGTGTGTAATAGCTTTCCGTACGTTTTCCATCTCGGCTGTTAAGTCCCTTACAAGGAACAACAAAATTGGCTTCACTGCCTTAATCAGCACTAAGTCGCCAAGTGGCAAAATGCCAGTTGGCAATCTACATGTGCAAGCATCTAGGACATGCAGAAATTGGAAGTTACGCAGGGGATAATAGCAAAGGAGACAGGCCCTGCCCTATAGTTGTGTTGCCATGTGTCATGGCCTGGGCACTTTCTTATGTTTTGCTTGTTTTGTTGTCCCCGCCACCTTTTTAATGCTACTCCCAGTTCAAGCTGCAACACTCTCTCAAAACAAGATGGGCGCTTTCACTGCCTCACATCACTAGGTGCTAGGAGGCACATCACCTGCATAGACCAATCAGAGCACATGGTTGTGAGTGCCTCACTGGTGTGCGGGCTCATTGCAGCACATTGTGCTGGCTTAGATATCTACACTACACAACTATACACATCTATACTGCATGTTGTGTGGATAGCACGAAGTTTCCTGTATGCACAAAAAGAGCCACAGTGTGTGCCAGCTTGTGCACTTCAGACTGGCCAAGCTATGCAAGTAAATGGTGCAGACTGGCTTGTCCAGCACCAACCAGACTCATAGACAGTAGCCAAATATAGATTGCACATTTTGAAACACCATTACATGGCTCAATAAAAAGTGATGACTGCCAGGACTTGTAGCTTGTGAGGTATGGCTGGCATAATGCATGTAAAATGCACGCACTACATATGTACGTGTTGTCTGGGAAGTGAAATCAGACATTGATGAATGCTGCTTAGGGTCTCAGTATGAGGCAAGCCACCAGTGCATGTGTTCAAAACAGCACACATGTAGTAAACCAGATGCCCCTTCACATAACTGTATGAGAATTTATTTGAGTTTCTTTTTATATTACCGACATATAAACTTCTCACTTTTTTTAGCTTAAAAACTAGCAATAAGATTAATATCGAGGATGTCCTTGCCATCACGAAATCTACAACTAAGTGCTTCACCCTCTTGTGCCTACTTGCTACATACTTACTGATGACATTGCAAAGAAGAGAGAGCCAGAGTTTTTTGTCTGTTTTCGGCACCACATTACTAATTTTCTGTTTATGCAGCTTATTATTTGGCTTAAATGTTCACATGACTATAATCTATTATTATTAAAAAGATTTTCTTGACATATCGAAAATGTGCTCTAGAGCTTCTTTAGCAACATGACTATCAATCAAATTTATGGTAAACATTGGCTGCAGGCACCAACATTGCCGTTTTTGAAATGCAATCCCACTGAACTCACTTGCCCATTGTTTTCATGCCTGTTCTTACCAACTAAATATAAATAATATTACACTGTGAATTTTCATACATTTACTGCTGCATGATGAGGATGTACTACACAATTCAAACACTTTCATAAGAGTGCAGTACAACAAAATTTGCCAACCCTTTTAAACCCATAAAGGTAAAGAGCTGCTGTAGGCTTTGAAATCAAGAATTTCAATAACCTAATGACAGGTTGCAGAAATACTCCCAACTAAACATTTTTCATTTTTACAATGTACAGAGGTGAAGTATTGGCAGCTTCTTGATTTTTTTTTTCCCCGAGACATCTACCAATTCTATTCAAGCATAGTGCTACATGACCGCAATTGATTTAGTGGTGGTAATGCTTGCTAATCAATCATTAATGACAATAATGACTAAATACAAATAGAAGTAAAGACTGTAACACAACTCAAAAAGCCCATTTAATGCCCTATATGACTCATCTTCCAAAAAACCACGTGACTACTACCTGTATGATAACAAGCATAGCTGGTTTTTGATTTGGTTACATTCCATGAGTTTGAAAAGCTAGACCACAAGATGGTTAGTATGTCTGTTAGTAACATCACCAACTGTCGCTTTGCCATGTTTACTGGACTGACTCGATAATGCCATCATGATATAAATAAACCACTGACTTTCACATTCTAAAAGTTTTACAAATAAAGCACTTTAAGCCAG